CCGTTGGGCTGCTTATTTTCACTTACGAGTACAAAGGAGGAGTACTCGCCGACAGCCATCTCCCAAATGTTTGTTTTCATTCTCCAGTGCTAGAAACATGCTGCGATGTTACTGCTAGGCAGACCGACTAAAGGGGACCTGTCATTTACCGCAGACCCTAGAATGATTGCTCCCGCTCCGGCGTGTGTGCAGCGGTACCTGATATGTGCGGGGCGATCGTCGTTTTTGATACTTTCGCGCCTTTATTTGGCGGACTTTGACATTTTTTGGGTGTTTTTTTAAATTTATTTAATTAAACTAAGTTCACAGCTTTATTGCCATCACAATAGCCCCCTATGTACAGGTGACAGGTTCTCTTTAAAGAGATATCAGGCTTCTTCGGATGGTCAGCAGGTTTGGATCGGTTTTCAGAGGGCGGGAAAAGACGCAGCTGCCCGGCATGTAGGAGATGCCCCCTGAGTGTCCTGTATTGTCCCAATGGGGATGTTCTATTAGTGCACCACAACTGCGTACCTACATAGGAATGGTGGAGGTGAATAAGGAAGGTGGAGGTGAATAATAAAGGTGGAGGTGAATAAGAAAGGTGGAGGTGAATAAGAAAAGTGGAGGTGAATAAGAAAGATGGAGGTGAATATGAAAGATGGAGGTGAATAAGAAAGGTGGAGGTGAATAAGAAAGGTGGAGGTGAATATGAAAGGTGGTGGTGAATAAAAAAGGTGGAGGTGAATAAGAAAGGTGGAGGTGAATATGAAAGATGGAGGTGAATAAGAAAGATGGAGGTGAATAAGAAAGATGGAGGTGAATAAGAAAGATGGAGGTGAATAAGAAAGATGGAGGTGAATAAGAAAGATGGAGGTGAATAAGAAAGATGGAGGTGAATAAGAAAGATGGAGGTGAATAAGAAAGATGGAGGTGAATAAGAAAGATGGAGGTGAATAAGAAAGATGGAGGTGAATAAGAAAGATGGAGGTGAATAAGAAAGATGGAGGTGAATAAGAAAGATGGAGGTGAATAAGAAAGATGGAGGTGAATAAGAAAGATGGAGGTGAATAAGAAAGATGGAGGTGAATAAGAAAGATGGAGGTGAATAAGAAAGATGGAGGTGAATAAGAAAGATGGAGGTGAATAAGAAAGATGGAGGTGAATAAGAAAGATGGAGGTGAATAAGAAAGATGGAGGTGAATAAGAAAGATGGAGGTGAATAAGAAAGATGGAGGTGAATAAGAAAGATGGAGGTGAATAAGAAAGATGGAGGTGAATAAGAAAGATGGAGGTGAATAAGAAAGATGGAGGTGAATAAGAAAGATGGAGGTGAATAAGAAAGATGGAGGTGAATAAGAAAGATGGAGGTGAATAAGAAAGATGGAGGTGAATAAGAAAGATGGAGGTGAATAAGAAAGATGGAGGTGAATAAGAAAGATGGAGGTGAATAAGAAAGATGGAGGTGAATAAGAAAGATGGAGGTGAATAAGAAAGGTGGAGGTGAATAAGAAAGGTGGAGGTGAATACGAAAGGTGGAGGTGGATAAGAAAGGTGGAGGTGAATAAGAAGGGTGGAGGTGAATAAGAAAGGTGGAGGTGGATAAGAAGGGCGGAGGTGAATAAGAAAGGTGGAGGTGAATAAGAAAGGTGGAGGTGAATAAGAAAGGCGGAGGTGAATAAGAAAGGTGGAGGGGAATAAGAAAGGCGGAGTAAGGAAAGGTGGAGGTGAATATGAAAGGTGGAGGTGAATAAGAAAGGTGGAGGTGAATAAGGAAGGTGGTGGTGAATAAGAAAGGTGGAGGTGAATAAGAAAGGTGGAGGTGAATAAGAAAGGTGGATGTGAATACGAAAGGTGGAGGTGGATAAGAAAGGTGGAGGTCAATAAGAAAGGTGGAGGTGAATAAGAAGGGTGGAGGTGAATAAGCAAGGTGGAGGTGAATAAGAAAGGTGGAGGTGAATAAGACAGGTGGAGGTAAATAAGAAAGGTGGAGGTGAATAATAAAGGTGGAGGTGAATAAGAAAGGTGGAGGTGAATAAGAATGGTGGAGGTGAATAAGAAGGGTGGAGGTGAATAAGAAAGGTGGAGGTAAATAAGAAAGGTGGAGGTGAATAAGAAAGGTGGAGGTGAATAAGAAGGGTGGAGGTGAATAAGAAAGGTGGGGGTAAATAAGAAAGGTGGAGGTGAATAAGAAAGGCGGAGGTGAATAAGAAAGGTGGAGGTGAATAAGAAAGGTGGAGGTGAATAAGAAAGGCGGAGGTGAATAAGAAAGGCGGAGGTGAATAAGAAAGG